GGGGGGGGGGGTGCGGGAGGAGGGGAGCGGAGGCTGAGGGAGAGGCAGCAGCTCCCTGCAAGCCGTACCAACCTTTCTCTAATTGGAACCGCGGAGCGCTGGCGCTGTCTGGGCTGCGGCGGAGGCGGCGCAGGGCGAGGAAGGAAAGGGGAGGAGGTCTTTTATTATTATTTTTGCATGTACTTACCGAGCTAGCCATGCCTGGGGGCCCGGAGGTTTGCTGGGGTGTTGTATGGTACCCCCCTCCCCCGCCCCCCTCAGCTGTAATTCATGAAGAAGCTGCTATGAATGAGAGCGCGCCCAGGAGCGGAGGGTAGATGGCGGACATTCTCTGCCTTTTTCCCCCCCGCGCTCGCTTGCTCGCTCGCTCGCTCGCTCGCTTATTAAACTCAGCCCCAAAAGCAAAAGCAGCAGCAGCAGCAGGCAGCTCCAGGGCCAGAGGATGATTCCGGAGCATGCGCCGTGGAGCCTGACACCCGGGCTCCGAGCCTCACGGGGCGGAGGGAGGGCTCGCGGGCGGGGCGGAGCGCGCGGGGAGGCCAAGGGAGCGAGCCAGGGGGAGCTCGAAAGAGCCAATCACCGGCCACCTCCCGAAACCCCGGCTGCCCGCAGCGCCACACTGGAACGCCTCGCTTAAAGTAACAGGTTCCTGCTGGGGGTATGAGAGAGGGGGAGCTGGAGTGGGGACAGCGGCCAGCTGGGGAGCCACCCCAGCCCCTGAGTAAACTCCGCTCGCCCTACAATAAAAAACGGATTAAAACTGCTGGAATGTAGCCACTGCCTACAGCCCCCAGCAGCCGGAGAAGGGGTGTTAAATCAAGTCTTTGGCGTTAGTTAGCACGCACCGGGAGGGAGGAATGGGCTTTCTTTTACTTTCCACCACGTATTTTTGTGGTTTTGTGCTGAAAAGGCAAGAACTCACACCCAAACAAACTTATTTAAAGAGAGAGCGAGAGAAATGCCACCCTACAAAAACAAGCATCAAAATAGCAATCGCTGAAGCTGTTATAACTCGCAACAATCCCCTGGCCCCCTTCCCCATCCACTCGCAGACACCCGCCCACCACCTTGCTCCGCGCCCTACTGCCACCGCCACCGAAAATTTAAAAAATGAAATGAACAAGAGAGAAACGAAAATGCTATTTCCTTCCAAGAGGACGCCTTCCTTGTTGGTAATCCCTGGCTGGGAAGCTTCAGAAAGTGTTGCCCAGGTGAAGGCGAGGCACCAGGGAGCGCAGGGTGCAGACCCTCGAGGACCAGACTTGCACTTGTTTTCTCCGGGAGGCTTCCCCTCCTAACAGTCTGCTGAGTTGCATCAGAACGTGGAGGATTGTCCTCTGAGGACGCGCGGGGCAACTGGGAGTCTTAAAATAGCAGACAAAGTTAATACTGACTGTAATATGCATAAATTGGATTGTAATCTTTAGGCTTATTGGTGACAGCCAGCGTAATCCATCTCTGGTTATTAATCCGGTTAGGTTCCCAGAGATAACCAGTCAAAAGAGTGTTCCCGGAGTCGCGCCCCTGCAAATATTCTCACTCGGGTTGCATCGGTCTCAGCGGCCGCGGATGGAACTGCGCAGCCACGCGTGGGACGAGGAGAAGAGGATTGACTAGCTTCCTTTAGAAACGCAGATGATCTTTTAAAAAGAAACAGATAAGATCTAGACGATTGATTTGAAAGTGAAATATGGGTGTGACTTTGGTTCGTTAAATAAAGATCCTTGCATTGTCCCAGCTCTTATACCTTTTTGCCATTTTTATCTTTTCTTCGCTCCACTTTTTCCCTCGCCTGCCAATTTCTTTCTGTAACTTTTCCTTCTCTTCTCCTTGTCTTTCTTCTTTGTCTCTCTTCCTCTCTCTGACCCTACTTTCTTGCTTTTCTCCTTTTCTTCTTTAAAACCACGAAAGCAAGTTTTCTTGCTCTTGGGTTGAGAAGAGCAGATTGGGGAGAAGGAGGTTTCCTGGGGTACTCGGAGTTCTGTTAAATATCAGTTCTCCAGCTGCTCCCAAAAAGATAATGGGAATCAGGGTGATCCATTTTAATTTCCAAGCCAGCAAGCTTCCAACTGGAGAAGTTAGATTCCCCCCAAACTGACCCTGTCCTCCCGTTACAATCAAGAAACTTCTTTCTATTGAGGACCCCAATTCTTCCCAGCTTTCTACAGAATTTAGCACAGAGTGGAGCAAAGTGGAGGGAGAAATATTTTAATCTAAGTTCAAGGGCTTATCTTTCTCAGCTGACACACATGAGCATAAATGTATATTAACTTGTAGGTACGTGTGTAGCTCTGTGTGTGTGTGTATATAAGGACTAAGTTTTCACACACAGACAAGCTGTGTGGATAGTATTTACGTGAAGGGTGCACCTCCTTGCCACACTTTATTAAGTTTTTGATAAAATAATAAAATTGGAGAGTTCTTCGTAATAATAATATTGGAAACTGAAGGTTATCTGACTGTGCCATTAATAAAGCCATTTCCTATTAAGCAGTAACTTACTAGCAGCGAGTGTTGCTCAGGACACAGGTGAAAAACAATTCCCCTTTTGAGTTGATGTCAGGGTTTGGCTAACTTCTTGCCAGCTACCGGGACTCTTTCGGGATTCTCGCCAAAATTTGTACTCGCAGGAGGGATTGATGTCTGCTTACTGAATAATTCGGATTTACTCCAGCAATCACAATTAAGCCATAGAGTCTGAGAAGGTCTTTTCCTAACCCGGTCTTTTTTCAAAGAATGCTTTAAAAACCGAATGCACGGTCATTCCCAATCTCCAAACACTGGAAATTTAGATCCGTCGGTAGATGGCGCACAGAGTCCTTCCAGGACGTCCTTATGTGACCCCTTTACAACAAAAAGACCAGGAAGGGGAGAAAAGAAAAAAAAAAAAAAAAGAACACACAAGCCTGAATACTCTAGATTCAACTTTGGACAAAGGAACTTATGCCTGTCTTTCAGTTTATTAATTATAACCTAGTTTAATAATCTTGCTATTAAAAGCAGTCAAAATAGAAATAAGAAATTAATTTCCAATCTAGCATACCAAGGAGATCGTCACACTTCCAGGTGAAGATGAAAAACAACCTTTTGATTACTTGACAATGTAGTTATAGAAAATACTCTGAAAACAAATTTTCAAACAAACTTCAGTTCTAAATACCACATAATAATAATTAAAATTGAAGTAATGAGGGATAAAACCATTTACTTATCCAAAGAGTAATTATCTTACCAAAATTCATACTGTAGTGACTTTAAGGAGAAGAAAAAGAAAACAACTGATGTTATATCAAATAAAAATCATGATGAAGAATAAAAGAGGCTCGTGCCTGTGGCAGATCTTAAATTTTCTCTTGATCTCCACCACCACCACCATCACTACTTACTACTGCCCTATATTATTTCATTTAGCTCCAGTTTTTTTGTTTGTTTTGTTTTGTTTTGATGTTGTCTTTGTTTTTGAGACAGGGCCTCTGTCTCTTGCCGGGTTAGAAAGTGGTGGTGCCCTCAAAGCTCAGTACAACCTCAAATACCTGGGCTTAAGTCCTACCACACCAGAGTGGGATGTATAGGGACTGTTTGTTCAGGCTGATCCTGTACTCCCGACCTCAAGCAATCCTCTATTCGCCTTGGCATCCCAAAGTGCTGAGATTACACTTGTGACCCACTGCACCTGGCTCAGTCTTTTTATTTGCAACTGTTCAGTTTGGAAGCTGAGGCCAGTTTCATTTGGATGTTTCTTACAAAACAAAAAGAGAACTTTTAAAGTGTGATTCGTGTGTTCAGGAAGATTCTAAAATAAATTTTATCAATTTATTATGATAGACTATTGATGCACAAACTCAAAAAATCAAATCAATAAAAATGAACCACTAACCATTCATTTTCTCACCTTTGCTGTATGGAGGAGGGTGGAGAAGATTCATGGGGAAAAGACTGAATAATCAGACAGATATTTTGAAACAATTAGATTCAAAATAATTAAGGGATTTTCCCTTATAGTGTACTTTTTGGTGTATTTCATGTGCGTATTTATTCACCAAAACAATTCCACATGTCAGGTAGGTTCTAAAAATCTAAGAATGACAGGGTCTGGCCTGGAGTGTATAACCCAGAGGAGAAGTTTCACCAAAATCATTTCTTTTCATTTTTTAAATTTCTCACTAAATTTGGGACAGAGACATGTGTCACATATAAGCAAGGAGCAGAGAACTCAGGCATGGCACACACACCCCAAGGACAAGAAAAACAGTAGCACAAGATTAGAAGCCTCCAATTCCACCTGTTAATACTTAAAAATAAGAGGGCTAGATATCATTCCTATAACAGCAGCCAATTCCTAATTTTCTTTTCCTTGACCTGAATGAAGTATTATCTGTGTTCACTTTGTTGCAGCTCTTTCAAGAAAAAGTATATCCTACAATGAAAGAAAGCTAAGTCTTTTCACAATCATGAGTAAATTCTCTCAGTTGAAATGGTCTTCCGGTTCCTTACGGAAATTTTTGGCTCAAAATGTTGCATGTTTAACACCAGAATAGTAAAAATCATAACTACTTTGAAAAAAAATTACTTTGATATCTACTTAAATACTTAGTCTAGGACCATTTTCAGAGATAAGAAAAACACAAAGCTTTTTTAAACACCAATGCCTCTTCATGTGTAAATTATTCCCTGAGAGTAATTTAAGCAATGCACTTATACATTTAGAAGACAAGAGTACTTCCACAGTAATAATTTATTAATTTAGTGGGCTGTATCCCTAATTTAATAATAGTACATCAAGGCCTGAAAATTAATCGAGGATGTTATGTAAGATTGGTAATATAAAACAAGATAAATATTACAGGATAGTTGATATAGTGTGATTGAAAATGTCTCCCTAATATATACAAGAACCCCAGTGGAATAGTTATAGGTAAAACACTTATTAAATTGGGAGTACTTGCTATAAAACAATCTAGAAAGTATAACATTTTGTTCTATCTTCATATATCTCTGGCATCTTTTCAAAGGCTACTACTATATAATTTTCCTTCTTTCTTTACATAATGATTTGATATTTCTGATTTTCTTCTTTTTTTTTTTTGAGACAGAGCCTCAAGCTGTCCTCCTAGGTAGAGTGCCATGGCTTCATTGCTCACAGCAACCTCCAAC